ATGCCAGCAATGGTGCTTTCATTTATGAATTATCATAAATTGTTATTGTTATAAAATTGTCAAATTAAATATTGTTTTAAATAACGCGTATAAAAACACAGACCTAAGTACTTGTGTGTTGTCCTTTTCACTAAAACTGGAAGGTGCCATTTCTATGACTGAGGGATTAGGTTTCAGAATGGTGAAACAATCAACTGTTATAATTGTTGTTTTAGCGGTTCTGCGTTTTGGGAGCTCTGCGTTATGGGAGCCTACCGCCTGTGGGGCGCTAGCACGTTACATTACCATCTCATCCTACTGGGTACCCATCCACTGCTGGGAGAAGAGAGGCATATTTCGAACACTTACCTAAGGAGACATCACATGTGTTCAGTCTGAGGCAGGACCCAAGCCCGAGAACCTCTCAGAAATCAAGGTGCCCACAATGTCACCCATCCAACTACTCTCCGCGACTAACATCACCTGATGTGTGACCTGCGCGCTGTGCATAGGACCACGTGTCATCACGCACACATACAGCGCTACTTGCCCTTCTTCAGGTGCTTTAGTCATCGCTGATTTTCGGTGATCCATTCATTTGGTTTTCAGCACTTGCGCCCAGTGGAACATGTTTCGGCACATGATCTGGACTGGTTGTTCTCTGGCGTTGACATTTTATATCTGAATATGAATGAGCGCCAAAGGGTGTGGGACATAATCTCAATGTCAGGGTTGATTTTCGGTGATCCATTCATATGGTTTTCACCAATTGTGCCCTTCATAACTTGTTCTTGAATATAACTTTGCATAAATGACTGAATTGTTAATATGTTAACTTGGTCTCGTCGCTAAATGGCTGGAAAAATGCCGATGCGACGTTAAATTTTAACTCACTCACCTATTGCGCCCAGTGGAGCCTGTTTCGGCACATGATCTAGACTGGTTGTTCTTTGGCGTGGACATTTTATATCTAAATATGAGTGAATGTCGATGTAGTTTTACACCACAAAGTGTACGATATATGTGTAGTTACTTTGAAAATAATTTTGCATCATGCACATATACTCGTTTTACAATCAAAGAAGAATGAAATAACTGAGCGAGTTTGCGCATGTCACAATCAAGTGTATGTATGTACCTACAGTTCACGGATATTTTCCATTATGTTATATTTCAAAAGATCCCATTGTCACCTTGAAATCTATTCATGTGACTCAAACGTAAAGAAATATCATTTTATTTCCATTTTCTATTCTCAACAAACATTAAATCGTATAATATTTTCATGTTTATTTTTCGGTTTAGAAAACAACATTTCAGTTAAAAATTGCACTTCTCATTCCTCCGGAGTTTCGGATCAGGTGGGAACGAAAACAAGGTGTTGCTATTTACGATGACAAGGCTCTCACTTAAAGGCCATTCATAATAACACTTAAAATGCCTGTTTCAGACAGAGCGACAACGTATTCTTCACACACCGACAGGCGCGGCTGTCCTCAGTGACGCAAGCCTGCCCGACCCAGTGTGCCTACAAACCATAAATACCGCTTGTAATGTCGCTACGCAAGCTCAAACTATGCCACGCCTTTTCACGCTGCGCCATCAACAAATAAACGCAATGTAACGCGAGACTTGCGCGGGGACGTGATCTAGAGGTAAGCCACCGAGGCAGGAAGTATGTCAGCAGAACGGGGAATTTAAGGATTAATCGTCCGTCGCCTATTTATGAGTCAAGTGGGAAACATGACAATATGGGTATTTTTGGAAGGACTATTTATAGAAGGATTGTGATTGTTTGATGTGAAGTATACAGCGTACATCACTGATGTATGAGGAAATCCCGAAGTGATGCAAGTCTTAGACGTTTGCCACTTTGGTGACACCCACGAGCCCGCGTATTGTGCTGACAAGTCTAGAAACATAATCGGGGTGAATATGAGATCTGAAGCAACGCGTGACAAATTGAAGCGCCTTAGACGATTGGGCCACCACTGCCCCAGCGTGTGCAAATAGACTTTTAATAGTGGTTACATAATGCTGATTTTGCAAAATTCCAGAAATGGGCTTCAAACAATTTACACATGTGGGGAATCGAGCGTCAGCGAACGCTTTACCGCTAGGATGCCCCACCGCAGCTCTGCAGTTGGTACCGACGTGCCTGTTGTATCAGCGACATCGTTTCCTACTACGTCAACAACGTGTACTAACGCCACAGCTTTACAAGTTTTTTTGGGTTTTTTTTGTTATTTGATGCCGCACTCAGCATTAGTCCAGCCATATGACGGCGGTCCGTATATATTCGAGTCTGGACCAGACAACCCAGTGATTGACATCTTGAGCATTGATATTCGCATTTACGATACGATGACATGCATCAACCAAGTCAGCGAGCCTGACCCCCAAATTCCGTTTGTCGCCTCTTACGACAAGCATAGTCGCTGAAGAGCAATTCTAACACGAATCTTCACAGGTGGTTATACTCAAGTGAATTATTGTGAATTGTTAACCATAAAATGTAAAAGATGTGGCCTTATATTCCAACTATACGTGCAACAATAGTCGTAGCGCTAAGGGACGAAGCATTTAATATTCTGGGCAGGGGGTGGAGGGTGTCAGAGACACATTTTTCTGTCTCTGTTTTAAAACACGCAAAATTTGTTTTTTAAAGGAGGACGAGATCAATTTAATTTTTTAAACAACAAACCTGGGGACAAATCTTTTTGCTCTTGAAGAAATTTGTTATGTCAAAACAATAGCTTACAATGAGAAGATCGGAGTGAGTGATTGAATCTGGTTTAACGCCGCTTTGAACAGTATTTTACTTGTATCCCAGCGTGTCAATGTGGGAGAAGAGACATCAAAATAATCATGGTGGACCTGGGGTTCGAGCCAACGATTACATGAGTCTGGTACGCACAGCTCTGCACAGAGAGGGCGGTGTGGTAGCCTAGTTGTTAAAGCGTTCGCTCGTCACGCCGAAGACCCGGGTTCGATTCCCGACATGGGTACAATGTGTGAAGCCCATTTCTGGTGTCCTCCGCCGTGATATTGCTGGAATATTGCTAAAAGCGGCGTAAAACAATACTCACTCACTCACTCTGCACAGAGAACTGCGACGCCTAAGATAACGGGGCCCCCTTGTCGAGAGGCAGCGCATATCAGGAAGGTGTTAAGAGGAAGCAAACTGACATCATGTGATATGATTGGCGAAAAGAGACAAATGTCAAACAAATGGGTTTTACAAACAAATGCGTTATTATATAATGTAATAAGATGTTTCATTTCATTGTTTTTACAAAATCAGTATTCATGATCAGAACGCATCAAAATAATTTCAATACATGATGTAACAGGTTTTTAGAACAAAACGGAAATAAAATCTATCAGTGATAAATGGAAATGCCTCACTCTTGTGTGCATGATGCCAATGCAAACATAAATGTATATTGTAGGTCGTTGTATCTCATTTGACTAAAATAGTTCATGTACTTAAATGTCAAAATTCGAAAAAAATATGAAATCCATATCCAAACCCCAAAGATCAGGGTTAGTACCACTTAGATGGTGTAAACACAAAACACAGAACTAATTATAATTACAGTCAACTACGGTTATAACGAACTCAAAGGGACTACTGTTTTTAGTTCGTTATAACCATAGTTCGTTATAAGCATATATACAGCATAACTACAGCAAATAGTCGGGACTAAAAAGTTAGTTCGTTATCTCCGTCAGTTCGTTATAAGCGTGTTCGTTATAACCGTAGTTTACTGTATATGAAACTGTAAAATTGTGTGAATGAAACAAATATAATTACTAATTCAGGACATGCATTATATGCATATCAAATATGACACTGGGTATGACAGAATATGGCGCTCTTGTTTCTAACCTTACCGCGTGAGGACATTCATAAATCAAAATGATTAGTTTAATTTGATGTAGATTTTAAGCTCTCATTGAAAGATATGGTGTCATATTTGAATAATATTAATGTTACACTTGCATAATAAAGAAAGACTGGGTTTTCATGGCTAGTTGACAAACGTTAGTCAAAAATGTGCATCATTGTCGTCACACAATGACCAGTTGTGCTAAGTATATGTCTATAATAACTAACTTATATTAATAACTCGATCAATCATCTGGAAAGAATCGGTATGTACCATGTACAAGAAGATCAAACATTAAGGTCATGTCAATCAATCATTTATCCCGTTTTATCTTATAGTGGTATTTCTTAAAAATTCAACCTCGGCAACTGTTAGGTATGTACACCGCAGATTCCATCTCACCTATATCGATATATATATCAGAATTTTAACACAATATTTATATGTTATGTTAGGTTTTTTTTTATCAGATATGCTTAACGAATATCTTCTGAAGACGGGGTTTATTTTATGGAACCAAAGACTGCAAAAACTACTATCGCCCGCAGCACTGAACTACAATATAACGTTATCTCCTTCTGTTAAAACCCGCCTCTGCTCCGGGCGGGTAACCTACAGAATAGTGCATGTGTGGTCGGAACATGCCAAAAATATATATTTTGCACTGATACTGAGACAGTGACCTTTATGCAGCCTGCTGACTTCATTCAGAATGTTGTGAAAAATGTATTAGTATCAATATTATATTATTATTGATTATTCACCAGTCTCACATCCATATTGCACACAGGTATAATTATATTATACGGTTTTACTCGAGAGAGAGAGAGAGAGAGAGAGAGAGAGAGAGAGAGAGAGAGAGAGAGAGAGAGAGAGAGAGAGAGAGTTTCAATCAGCACACAGCTGAACATCAATATCGCGACACAAATATAGTTTACTCTTTGATTAAGTAACGTGTATTAAAGTTTTTTAAAATTAAATTTGAATTCTATAAAGCTTGTCTAAAAACATAAATTATTGATTGTAATGTTGCTGTTTGTTACATGTGTGTCACAAAATATTGTGTCAATGGATTTAATACCAAAGCAAAATGTTTAAGATTTCAACAGAATCATGAATGTCACTTACTTGAGAGACAAAGATCGTATCCGTTCCGTTTGCTTGTTTTCTAAGACAGAATATTTCCCAAAGCTTCTCGGAGAGATGAGGAAACAACAAACGTTGACTCACAACAACCAAAAACAATTGGTTCGCACAAACGCCTTCCACAACATAAATAGCTGGGTGCGTACGAGGTTTTATGCTGAACCTGAATGAATGAGGAATTTTGTTCGTTGTCGCCTGTTAAGGATACGTCTAAGGGCGATAACCGCCGATGTAATGAATTGACTCGGAAGTAAAAATTGTCGTCTGCTCTTCCAGGTTGACGTCACGAAGTGAAATTGACATCGTTACACCCATGAGAAGGTCGGGAAAAGCGGGCATACGTCACACCTAGCCTAAACAATATTAAACATTGGGAGTACTTTAAGGAATGGGCTGTTATTATTTGTGAGAACATGCAAATATCATTCACCAGATTACCTTCTCCTAAATAAACGTTATGAATCAAATTCCCGCTAGTCAAAAGAACGACTAAATGGTAAGGGTCGATTTGGTTAAAAACGTTTCATCATACCTCGTTACTCATAATATCAATCACTGTTTTGTCTGGTCTAGAGTCGATTATTTACAGACCGACGTCACATAGCTCTGATATTGCTGAGTGCGACGCAACCGAAAAAAATCAAAACAAAGCGATTAAGCCTTATTTCTAAAGAAATTATGCACATGATTATATGCGTCAGGGAATAAATGCTGTTTTATGCCGCAGACTACACTGCATGTTATTCTGCAGTAAGTAATTGTAATCGGTACCTATAGTATATGCGTATCAAGGAGGGTACGTACTGAATAGTTTTCATGACTTTGTTTTTTTAAAATATACAAACATACCATTGACCTTAGATATGCCACTTTGGATATATACCTACCGTGTTCTCAAATTTTCGAATCCTCCACTCGAGTTTGACACCATGCCATGAACGCAATGCGTGTGTGTGTGTGTGCGTGCGTGCGTGCGTGTGAAACCAGCCCTTGGTTTTTTCCTCATTAATCCCGAGCGCCATGAAGGAGGATAACAAATACCGCTTTTTAACGTATTTTGGTATGGCGCGCGTAGGGATCGAGCAGCCAACCTTCCACTCACTCTATCCACAAACCACGGAGGTGTGATTCCGCTGAGTCTAATGTTTTAGTAGGTTAAATGGACGGATTCAGGGATCAGTGGACTACCATTTATCCGCATACATATATTTGCGTCTATAGTTTGTTTGTTTGTTGTTTATGTACACACATGGTCTGTAAATAATCGGATGTGGACCAGACAATCCAGTGATCATCAGAATCGATGACATGCATCAACCAAATCAGCGAGTCTGACCACCCGATCCCGTTAGTCGACTCTTACGACAAGCATAGTCGCCCTTTACGGCAAGCATGGGATGCTGACGATCTATTCACGTAAATAGAGCAACCACATTACAATTTACACCATAATACTAGTGTATAAACCACTTCAAAAAGACACAATAGCATGATATGGCGCAAATATCATAACATTATTCAACATGGTATCCCAGATAAAATAAGGAAATTATTTCTGAATTAAACACCACTTTGGGAAGTCGTACTGTTCTCTGGGCTCTCATTGTGACGAGAAAGACATGACGTCACAGTATAGTAGCGCTATATGTCAAGCTGTGTTCATGTTAATGAATTTGTGGGCTTCATCTGTCAACGAATCGCGAATCCTCTGTTGGTTGCAATTGGTTTAAATCGGAAATTCCCCTATGTATGATTTCCACGTTAAGCGGACACATCGTGATATACAATCGCATGATCCGACATGGCACACTGTTCCCAATGGCAACAGTTAACACGGTCAGCAAGGTCCACACAGTTAACAGGCAACATAGTTACCACGGCACAATCATCACAATCTACACAGTTAACATTCGACAAGGTCAGCACAGTGTACACAATTAAAACAGTTAACACAATAAGCAGTCAGCACAGTCAGCACAGTTGACACAGTTATCAGTCAGCACAGTTATCAGTCAGCACAGTTGACACAGTTAACAGTCAGCACAGTTGACACAGTTAACAGTCAGCACAGTTGTCACAGTTATCAGTCAGCACAGTTGACACAGTTAACAGTCAGCACAGTTGACACAGTCAACAGTCAGCACAGTTGACACAGTTATCAGTCTGCACAGTTGACACAGTTAACAGTCAGCACAGTTGACATAGTTATCAGTCAGCACAGTTATCAGTCAGAACGGTTGTCAGCACAGTTGACACAGTTAACAGTAAGCACGGTTGACACAATTAACAGTCAGCACAGTTGACACAGTCAACAGTCAGCACAGTTGACACAGTTAACAGTCAGCACAGTTGACACAGTTATCAGTCAGCACAGTTGACACAGTTATCAGTCAGCACAGTCAACAGGAAGCAGTCAGCACAGTTGTCACAGTTAACAGTCAGCACAGTTGTCACAGTTAACAGGACCTGTGAAGAACCGGGGTAGAATAGGTCTCAGAAACCCATGCTTGCCGTGAAAGGCGACTATGCTAGGCGACTAACGGGATCGGGTGGTCAGGCTCGCTGACTTGGTTGATGCATGTCATGATCATCGATCCCATTTGCGTGGATCGATGCTCACGATGTCATTCACTGGATTGCCTGGTCCAGACTCGATTATTAACAAACCGCCGTCATATAGCTGGAATATTGCTGAGTGCGGCGTTAAACAACAATGACACAGTTAACGCAGTCAGCACAGTTAACACAGTCAGCACAGTTAACGCAGTCAGCACAGTTAACGCAGTCAGCACAGTTAACGCAGTCAGCACAGTTAACGCAGTCAGCACAGTTTAACGCGGTCAGCACAGTTAACACAGTCAGCACAGTTAACGCAGTCAGCACAGTTTAACGCAGTCAGCACAGTTAACGCAGTCAGCACAGTTAACACAGTCAGCACAGTTAACGCAGTCAGCACAGTTAACACAGTCAGCACAGTTAACGCAGTCAGCACAGTTAACACAGTCAGCACAGTTAACGCAGTCAGCACAGTTAACACAGTCAGCACAGTTAACGCAGTCAGCACAGTTAACAGTCAGCACAGTTAACGCAGTCAGCACAGTTAACACAGTCAGCACAGTTAACACAGTCAGCACAGTTAACACAGTCAGCACAGTTAACGCAGTCAGCACAGTTAACGCACTAAACACTGTCTGCACAAGTCTTGTTTTCATGGAAATCCTCGTCGGTTGTTGGGATTATATTTGGAATGATGTTGGTGTACTTCATGAGGCAAAATATGTGTTTTGCCATGTGATGGTGATGATTTACTCTATTTTTGTTTCATTCTCAGCTCCCTGGGGATCATACAATCCACACTGACCGTGAGCCGCGAGAATATTAACCGTCACATTACCATCTCATATCACCCTGCCTATCAATTAACTATATTTAGTTATTACGCAGCAGGATTTGACAGATTGTTTCTCTTTTTCAGACAAAAACCCACTTACTTAGCAGGTTGATTATTTGACATGCTATTAAGAAAACCGTTACAGAGTTTGCGTAGAGATTGGATTTGTTTGAATCTGTTAAAGTTAGAAAAGCAAATGTTAGGTTATTGGAGTTCTATGTCAATACCCTCCGTGTCAGTCAACGCGGTGTTAGGGGTAATGGGCCGATACGTAGACAAACGGTCAACATGGGATGAAAACGTCTGTCTATACTCCGGTACTGACGGTGGTTGAGTACTTACAGCCTGTCCACACGGCGGTACTCCTTAGTGCCCCAGGCAACGATATGTTCAAGTGGACACCACTTTATTCTGGCCACTGACCACATTAGCTAACAATATGTAAACAGATCAATATATGTTTTTCATTTTTATAGGCATCATGAGGCACCAACAGTCGTCAATTGAACATTATGCTCACTCACTCACCCAATTACGATAACTTTATCTTTAGATATATTATTATATTTCTGTTGCCTCTAGAACATTTGTGTGTACTGTTGGGCCGGCAGGAAGCGTTTTGGAGAATATAACCCGTAAATTCACGGTGTATTTTTTTCGATTACTTTCACTGATAGTTCATTTTTGGCTTCATGCTCACTGGCTGTTACACGAGGATTGGTCCATTATATTTATTGTTTGAACGGCGGCCATATAAACGTCATTGACATCATGAGCATCGATCTACGCAGTTAGGGTACGATGACATGCATCAACCAAGTCAGCGATACCGACCAACCGATCCCGTTAGTCGCCTCTTATGACAATGGGTTTCTTGGCATGAATTTCTGAAGACCAATTCTAACCCGGATCTTTACGGGGGAAATTTTCTATTTGTCCGTAGCAAACATTAAAAAGTTAAGGTCATTGTATTCCCTGAATTTACTTGACACGAGTGAGTATAGTCTGCTTCACTTTCAAATACATACGATATTTTTTTAAACTGTGAGACATTTTTAAACTCAAACCGACACTTCGAAAACATGTAGGGCTCACAGATTTCACGTCATAATTTCGCGATAATGATCCACATATCTAGCGATAATCTAAAATATAATTTCCATCCATTCCTTATGCTGAATGAAGTGTGAAAAAACATACGTTCTGCTTGTAATATGGGTAGGATTATCACGTCCGCAAGCTATATAATCAAGGGCAGCTGATTTGAGTTCATACGTTAGTTGAAAGTTGTTTGGCTGCGTTAATATTCCGACAAGCTCCCTCCCAACGCGTGACGCCTTCGTTTCAATCCCCTCCTCAACATTACCAGTCAGTCGGTTGCGAGTTCAAATCCATGTTTTGTTGAAGACCGCCTAACACTGTGGGGAGCTGTGACTGGTGGCAGCGATAGTATAGAGAGTTCGGCGAACGAGCTCTGAGATATTCACATTCGTCACCACTCGCCTCTTTCCGTAACCTGCAAGAAGACTCTTCCCCCTATCGATGAATGTTATGTGCGAAAATACGACAAACCAATCATTGATTTCAATGATTTCAAGTTCTTCGTCAAAGAATCCCTCAAAAATAATTTTTGATTTTACATATGTCTTGCGTCTAAAAATATACCCAAGGCACAGTTAAATGTGTTCAATTATACTGTATACTTCCGCATGTCCAGGTGTGCTTTACATTGCATCTGAAATATATATAAT